ATCCAAATTTACCTCCATGTAGTTCATCTCACAGGTAACCTCTCTGTGAGACCATTGGAGAGATAAAGTGCAGGTCTTGTTCAGTGCATAGCTGGCCTCCTTTTCCTTATGTGTAGCGATCAAGTTAAAATTAAAGAAGAACATGTCATCCTGAAATACCCAGAAGAGAAAATTTATCAAAGCCTTCTCTCCTTACGCAGCAGCACATTTCTGCTTATTTGACTGCTTGCACATACTTTGCTGTCAGTGTGGCAGCTGAAATAAGAAGCTCTGAGCTCCACGTGGCCCAGGAGAGGGAGAGCACTCACGGTATAGCCACACTTTGCAGCATACTGTTCAGTGATGGCATACACTCCTGTTCTATCTTTACAAAAAGAAGAAAACCTCAGTAGTCATGCAGCTCAGTAGTGGCCAGAATTATCAGACGAAAGAAGCTTTTAAAAAAAATGCTCCAATGCAGAAGGGAAGCTTTTAAGGGGGACTTACCCACAGCTTCAAAGCGAAGTTCCTTTCCAGTGAAGGAGAGATCAACAGCCATCATGAAATAACGCTCACGACACTCCATATGAACTCCTGCATGAACAAAGCAAGTTTTAAGTACAGATTACCAGTATTTTTAAACCACACTCCCTAATAACATGCATTTTACCATCCGTGATGAGATCACAAATTGCAGCTGAGCACACGGAGAGGAGAAAGGCCACACTGCAACACAAAGGGACATGTGACAGAAAACCTAACTGGAAATTAACTTTATAAATAAACGTGATGATTTCCCACTAAGGCAGCTTACCTAAACTTAAATGCCATACCCACTGATGTTGGCAGGGTCTAAAGCCAGCCTGAGTGCTAGCAAACTACACTTCTAACCAACACAAGCTCAAGTAAATCACGGATTTGGGATATCCAAACCACATCAGCAGTAGTCTGTGTGAGCTCAGTTTCTTGACCCCTGAAATTAAAAGCAGAGTTCACTTTTAGCATCAGCTGCAAGTGATTTAAAGATGAGTTGATTATTCAAAGGCTGCACCTGTGAGTGTAACTCTGAGAGCCTCTGATTGGCCAGTGACACTACCAGAATATAAGTACTGATATGACGGCTTCAGGCTTCTTCCCTAGCCTGACGCAGGGTTTCCAGTGCACTTTAGGTGCTACTGATAAAGTTGCAAAGGTTCTTGAGCTTAATGTTTGGCCCTTCTGTCTGTGTGTGCAATTTCAAACTGTGATATTCCCATTGATAAATACTTTAAAGTGCACTGAAGCATAAATCTGCAGTCATTTGTGCATATGTCTGGATCTTATATTTCTTTTTTTGGATTTCATTTTCAAATCTTGTTGAAATCCTCAGTGGATCACAAGTTGAAGTTCAATCACAGGATTGGAGTAAGGCTCTTGCAGCACCCTCTGGTGGACAAGGGAGGAACTGCACCACATTTTTTTTTCACACAGTAATGTAATAAATATGCAATGAAGTGTTTCAGAAGTAGATCGTATGGTTGTTAGGTATACATGCAAAATTTGGAATTGAAAAAAAAAAAGGCAAGTGAAGAATAAACATTTAGTGCATCATGGGAAGCCCTCAAGAGCCAACGCCTATTGCAACATAACTAAGGGGGAATCCTGAGCCACCTAATCCAACCCTAACTATACGCTTTATAGGAAAGCTTGGAACCCAATCTTAAAAGCAGAGAGGGTGTCTGTCTCCAGAATCCAAACTGGGAGCTGTCCTCACAACAGGGGCCTGACAGCTGAAGGCTCTGCCTCCCATTCTACTTTTAAATAGCAGGAACCATAAGTAAACCAGCAGTCAGAGCAACGTGCTTTATTGGGGTGAAACAGTACGATGAGGTCTTTAAGACGGGCCTGACCTTGAGATTTTAAATTAGATTCTGGATTCAACAGGGTGGTACAGAAACCTCTTACCTGAATTTGGAAGCAGGAAATTATTTCATCCAAGTCTGTCTTAAAGACATGCCTGCAGTTTGTGTCTCACCTGGCTTCATTCCCTTACTTGTTGCAGTTACTTAAAAAAACTGGCAATGAATAACACTACCTCAACTTGTCAATTGAGTGGATCATTAAAACCAGAGTTTGTATTTCCAGTACCGGTTTTGGTTGATATCCCAGCTGGCTTCAGTGCTCTTCATAAAGCCACTGTAGTTCATGGAATATCTATAGATGAGAAGCATTCGTGACCTAAAGCTGACAACACCAAGTTTTGATGGTTTAAGCAAAAGTCCAATTTATTTTTTGTCATGATTACAGTAAACTGATGTCATTGATATGGAACAAGTTAAAGCCAATGATGTGAGGTTAGCAAATCAAGTATTAAGTGTTTACACAGCTTGTTCCAGCTTTGCAATGAGCCATTTGAACACTGCTTTAAAGTTCCCAGAATTAAATGCTTTAAGGTCAGATGTTAGTAGCAAAGAACCTTTAGTAGCTACATAGCTGTACAAGTTTCAGCAAATGC